ATATTCTTGATAAAAACCAAGATCTTTTATCCAATATGAAATGTAGATCTTTAGGAGAATTCCGAGAGTATAAAGAAATATTTTTGCAAAGAGTTTTCCAAAGAACATATTGCAATCAATCTTTTTGGAAAGAAAAATTTCTTGCTGGCTTACCAAAACTCGTAGGAGAACAAGTTCGTAGTAAGATAAGAGAAGAATATGGAAATCAAATTCCATATGACCATCTTTCTTATGGAGAACTAACCTCTTATGTTTATAAAATAGGAACACAGTTGTGCACTAATATTCGTCTCCAAAAACAAATCAAGAATGAACAAAAGCTTTCTAAAAAAGGATTAGGAGAATTTTGTGCCCAATATGATCCATCTTTTGAATCTTTTGAAAAATCCAAATGTTCAGGAAAATGTCCTTCTAAACAAAAGGATCGAAAGAAATTTTATAAGAAACCTTATAAAAAGAAATTTGATAAGAAGCATTCTGATAAGAAATTTTCTAAAAGGAAAGAAAATGATAGTTTTGATAAAACCAAAAAACCTAGAAGAGATTTTAAAAACATCACTTGCTATAACTGCGGCAAAAAAGGCCACACTTCTCGTTTCTGCAAACTCAGCAAAAAGGTTAATGAGTTAGATTTAGATGAAGAAACTATTAATCAACTCAATCAATTAATGATTGAAACTGATAGTAGTTCTTCTGATGAATCTAGTTTTGAAAAAGGATTACAAATTTGTGATTTGGAAACTTCTTCCTCATCAACTTCAGAAGTGAAGATGAAGAAGCCACCAGCTTTGAAATAAATGTTTTAACAAAAGAAGAAGAAATTCTTTTGCAAACAATTGATCAGATCACTGATCCTGAAACAAAAATAAAATATTTGAATAATTTCCAAAACCCCAAATCAGCTTCTAAACCTACTTTTCAAACTAGCAATCCTTATAATATTTCTACCATTCTTGACAAAACCAAGAAAACTAATTTCAAACCCATTTCTATAAATGATCTAACCCAAGAAATCAATAAACAAAAGGAGGAAATTCAAAACCTCAAAGTTGCTCGGATAATTATGCAAAAAGACATTTTAGATATTAAAATGAAAAATTTTAAAAAGAAACAAAAGGAAGAAGATTTTGAAGAAAAAGATGTTACTCAACTCACTTCTTCTTCTGATACAAACTTCCTTTTAATGCTTTCTGAAATAACTACCAGAAAATGGATTATCAACATTTCCATAAGAATCCAAAATGAAATTGTTTTGGAAACAACAGCCCTTTTTGATACTGGTGCAGACCTCAATTGTATAAAAGAAGGTCTTATACCAACTAAATATTTTGAAAAAACTTCCCAATCTCTCAAATCAGCATCTGGTGATAAGCTGGTTATTAATTATAAAATTCCTGAAGCCGAGATTGTGAAAGATCAAATTTCTTTCAAAACTCCCTTTCTCCTTGTTAAGAATATCAAACAAAATGTTATTTTGGGGTTACCTTTTATCAATTTACTCCAGCCTTTTAAAGTTTCTGAAAAAGGAATTGAAACTGAAACCTTAGGCAAAAGAATTTGCTTTAATTTCATTTCAAAACCCCAAACCAGAAATTTGAATACTCTTCAAGAACATTCCATTTCTGAGATTAATTGCATAATCCAAAACAAAGAAACTCATCTTCAGTTTCTTAAAGAAGACCTTGAATACAAAAGAATTGACAAAAAACTTTCTGAAACCAGTCTTCAGAAAAAGATTTCCAATCTTGAAAAACAAATCAAAGATTCCATATGTTCTAATATTCCTAATGCCTTCTGGTCTCGTAAATGTCACATAGTTGATTTACCTTATGAACCAGGATTTTCAGAAAAGGATATTCCTACTAAGGCTAGACCTTCTCAAATGAATCACGAAGTTCTAAATTTCTGCCAAAAAGATATACAGGAACTTCTTGAGAAGAAGCTTATTAGGAAAAGCCGATCCCCTTGGAGTTGCTCTGCTTTCTATGTCAACAAAAATGCTGAACTAGAAAGAGGAGTCCCAAGATTGGTAATAAATTACAAACCTTTGAATACTGCCTTGAAATGGATAAGATATCCAATTCCTAATAAAAAAGATTTGTTAAATAGGCTTTGTGATGCAAAGATCTTTTCTAAATTTGATATGAAATCAGGCTTCTGGCAAATTCAAATTAGTGAAAAGGACAGGTACAAGACGGCCTTTACTGTTCCTTTTGGCTAATATGAATGGAATGTCATGCCTTTTGGGTTGAAAAATGCCTCATCTGAATTTCAAAGGATAATGAATGATATTTTTAATCATTGTTCTGATTATATTATTGTTTATATTGATGATGTTCTAATATTTTCTACATCCATAGAGAAACATGTTAAACATATCAATCATTTTATCAATATTTCAAAGAAAAATGGTTTAGTAGTTTCACCTACCAAAATATCTCTTTTCAAAACAAAAATTCGTTTTTTAGGACATTACATTCATCAAGGTACTATCATACCTATAGAAAGATCAATAATATTTTCTGAAAAATTTCCCGATGAAATCAGAGACAAAAATCAATTGCAAAGATTTCTAGGAAGTTTGAATTACATTATTGAATTCTTTCCTCGCATCAATATAATTTGCAAACCACTCCATCAGAGGCTCAAAAAGGATCCTCCTCCATCGACTCAGGTCCATACTGATATTGTAAAACAGATCAAGCGGACTGTCAAGGAAATTCCTTATTTACATCTTGCTGATCCTTTTGCTTTTAAAATTGTTGAAACTGATGCTTCTGATATTGGATACGGAGGAATTCTTAAGCAATCCAAAGACAACAAAGAACAAATTGTTCAGTTTGTCTCCAAACACTGGAATGATTGCCAAAAGAATTACTCTACCATTAAGAAAGAAATTCTTGCTATTGTACTTTCTATTTCTAAGTTTCAAGGAGATCTTTTGAATAAAAAATTCTTATTAAGAATTGATTGTAAGTCTGCAAAAGATGTTTTGCAGAAAGATGTTCAAAATATCGCTTCTAAACAAATTTTCGCTAGATGGCAAGCCATCTTATCTGTTTTTGATTTTGACATAGAATTCATAAATGGTTCTTCAAATTCTCTCCCAGATTTTTTAACACGAGAATTTTTACAGGGAAGATGCCTCCCAAGCCACCTGATAAGCCTACCAGAAGAAGTAAAGGCAAAGAAATTGCCAAATCTTCCTCGGAGAAAAAATCTCCTGGCCTTACCAACATAAAAAAATGGCTGCAGGCAACCACCCAGCCACCTTTGAATACCACCACCATTTCTACTCAGGCCAAACCGAACCTTGAGTTGTCTTTAAGACCTCCTTTTGATATTACTAAAATTTCTCATGAAGAAGCCTTACAGCTTCTCCAAAAAGCCTTCAATAGTCAGACACAACCATCAGCATCATCAGCGGCAATGGTAAGTCCTGACCCTTCTCCCATTGCTACCCAAAAGCAAATGGGAAAAAGAATTTCTAGTGAGGTGGTTATCCAGTCTACCCAGGCAACCCCTCTTGAACCCAAATCAAAATTTTTTCCTAAAATTGGCTTTGAAACAATTTGCAACATTGAAAATGATTTTTATGATGAAAACTCTTGTATTTTTGCAAAAAATATGTTTTCAGAGAAATTCTTTTACACCCTCATGATATTTATAAAACTGTTGATTTCTATGAAAGAATTTTGACAGAAACAGAATCTATCACTTTTAAGCATTTCTCAGACAAAGGACATATAAATTACTCCAAAGCCATTCTACACAAGGTCATTCACCCTCGAGAATGGAAACCTAGTCCTCTAGCCATGAGAAAATTTAATATCAAAATGTCTGAATCCATTCCATAGAGGACATCCTTTTCCATATATATATATATATATATATATATATATATATATATATATATATATATTGATTAATACAGCGAAAAACCTCAAACTAGTACGCATGTGACAATTTTATCACAAACTAATTTTTTGACCACAAAAAAATTCAAAACTGGTACACTTGTAACAAATTTACTCTCAGTTTATTTCCGTTAAATTTTACTGTCAAATTGCTTTGTTAAATGACACGCGGCAATTGACGGATGTACCGATTTTATGTTTTACCCTCCGTTTGTCACAGGCGTACCATTTTATGATTTTTTGTGGAATTAATTCAATTTAATGAAAACCAATGAAGGGTAAATTTGTCACAAATGTACCAGTTCGGGATTTTTTGTGGTCAAAAAATTAGTTTGGGATAAAATTGTCACAGGTGTACCAGTTTAGGGTTTTTCGTGATTAAAAAATTAATTTTGGGTAAAATTATCACATATATAACCAGCTTGAGATTTTTTGTGTATTGACCTTATATATATGGCCGATCCATGATGAGTCGAGAAAAGTCGAGTGGGCATTTTCGCGAGACCCAAGCATGATATGGATGCCGCACTCCTCGCCATGGAAAAAGACAACCCTCCATTGTCTTCTCTTTCCCCTTTCTAATGCAAAAACCAAACCAGAAAAAGAGAGGCTACTTTTCTGGATAACCATAATATATGATATGATACATATCCTCTATCTATCCCAGCGCAGATGATGATAGCACAAACCAATCGCCCAGCTGACGTGGCCACGTGCCCGCTGGGACCCCCCGCGTCGGATTCTCGAGTGGAAAGATGACGTGGAACGAGACGCGCTTCGCCATCGACACCGTGGGACTTTGGCACAAAAAAAAAATATCCAGATGCACTGTACGTACGCTATTAGCACACGTGTTTCGAAAATCCACGCGAGGTCCACGGACACCCCGCCGCGGCGATCGGATGAGAAGCGACCAACCGACCGACCGACCGACTCGTGGCTGACCGGAGCTTCAGAGGGGCCGGATGTCCGATCATTAGGAACGGATCTAAGGGTTTTTATGGGTCGCGAGCACGTATAATACTATACAAAGTTATGTGCTCGAGTAAACTATGAATAATAGTCCTTCTAGGACAAGAAACGAAAGAGAAAACTTCAGTGATCTATTCTCCCACCTTTCTTTTTTTCCCCCCGCTCTATTTTCGTTTCTTTTCAAAAGAAGAAAGTCAAACAAACTCGAAGAGAAAGAGGGACAATCACCTATGAACAAATTTGGAATCGACGAGGTGACCACATAAACAAATCACCACCACCACCACCCCCACCAAAGGGATCGACACTTCTATATTAACACGGCCTCTCTCTCTCTCTCTCTCTGCGTAATACATTTTAGTACACAAAAGAATCAAAGAAGAAGAAGAAGAAGAAGAAAAGAAACCAAAATCTCAGTACAATTCACTTCCTATACCCCCACCTCGCTGGTACACATTTTACTTTGCACAGCCGTTTCTCCGTCTCCCGTCGACTGTCGCCGGCTGCTGCCGAGCTCTGTGCGGCGGTGGAGGGACTCCGTGGGGCAGTTTCCTCGACGGCGAAGGGACTAACGTGGGAATCAAACTCCTGATGAGAAAGACCATAATTACTACCGATGCGAATATGTCCCATATCTTAAACCGCGATTCTAAGACTCTACAGTCAGACGAAATAAATACGACTGTGTAAACTTTTCCCCCTATGATCCTCCTCGAAGTGCAAGCTATTCAGGAATATGACAGCGATATCACAAGTAATCTTTTCCTCAATCTATTAGAGGAAATACTAATCCAGTATTATTACCTTGTCTCCGGGTTCTTTGCTGACTTAGCCTGAGGTTTCTTGACCCTTGACGCCAAGCCGTTCTTGGCAACTTTAGAAGCGCTATATTGCCAGAGCAAATCTGGTTCAGAAGAGTCACTTGTTGCAGCCTCCAGGTCGTCGGAGTCGTTATCGTTGCATTGATCCCTCCGCACATCACAATCTTGGTTGTTCTTGATTTTGTTTGGTGAAAGCTTGTTTTGGGATACCATTGACGGATCTGAAGGGTGTTGTCTCTGATAAAACATGCGAGGCAAGTCCCCGTTTTCGGCCTCCCAACTAACTGGAGGATGTTCCTGTCTGCTTAGCGCGTCGTGCTTTTTCACCATTACTTTATCAACCCACTCGCCTGAAATGAATGCTTTCTCATCATCCTCTCCATTTAGTACAGGATTGGTAACCGGTCGCCAGGGAGGTGAGTTTGCTAGCATATCCTGAAGATCTAAGCTGCGTCTTTTCAGCTTGGGTATCGATTTGTTCTGGACCTGCACATCAAATCGTCATTAGATGATTCTAAGGAATAATGGATGTGACGATTTCTAGTACAGTCAAACCGCAAAATTTATGGGACTGGCGGTGAAAAATTACAAATTCAACTTGTCCATCCAGAAATGGCTGGGAATAAAATGTTATGTTATCAGCCACATAAGACGAAGAGAGAGAATGAAAGTCTTATTATCAAAGAAGAGTCAAAGGTTATTTTGACAAGGAGAACCCACCAGGAGACTCCACGTCCTATTTTGTCCCTATTTTTGTACAAAATAATTATTAACGGTCCTCTCCATATCATATGACAGTAAAATAAGTACTCATTCAGTCTTTCACGATATAGAAGATAAATTTAAAGTCTTCTCGTTAACTATTGCCGGTAAAACAATTTTCACTACACTTCAAATTCATGAAATTATATAAGGACTTGTATGTTCTGAGGCAACATACAAGCCTATCTACAGTTTTTGAGCCGTAGCTAAATTACGTCCTGATGTCTTGGCATATCACAGTAGGAGCATATAGAGATAGCACGATTATTACTGGTTCTGGAGTCATTAAGGGAAAGTAAAGTTGGATGTACATGCCGACATAGGAAGTTAGGTAGCTGTTTGCATTTGTCAAAATTCTTGATTTGGATGTCCATACCTCTATGTTTCCTACATCCTCCATGGGTTGTCTATGACTAATTGCCACATGTCCTGGACCCTCCCAACTAAGTTGCATAGAAAGTCCCGATTGTACTTCAATTCTTTCTGGACTGCTTGACCGGGAACGATGAAGCTGCTGTCTTTCTCCCTCCTTCTTTGCAAGAGCAGCCTTAAGGCCAGCTATCTGCATCCAAAGACATTGGACATTAGATTCATTTTTCAAATAATCAAGCCTACAATTCTCAGTAATAGAGAACTTTTGAGATTCATTTTGCAAAATTAAGCAAGGTGGTCATAGAAGCAAAGGGCAAAGAAAATATCAACGACCAGTTGCAAGCTTAATTTTTAAGGGAGTAGACAAGATCTTTCTTCAGTTAAGCTATCATGTAACACTTGAAGTCTGCTTGTAAAAAAAAAAAAAAAAACCTGCTCTTTTAGCTCTTTCACATCTGCACTATCTTTATTAACTCGAGCAACACCAAGTTCAACAGTAGACACCCTTTCAGCAAATTTGAGTGTACTGATGCTTTCTCCTAAAGAATCGGGCTCTGGACTTATGTGCACAAACATGAGTGTCTTGGCTTGCCCTCCTGTTAAACGTGAGGTACAACAACTTGATTAGAACGTTAAAAGACAAAGAACATCTTCGTCATCGAAGAAACAGAGTTACTCTTACCAAGTGAATCTTGGAGCAATTGTGTCAGCTTACTGTTCCTGTAAGGAACATGTGAGTTCTTCTGAGCAAGTGCAGAGATCACATCTCCTAATGAAGAAAGAGATTTGTTAATATGTTGCGCCTCCTTCAGTCTATCCCCTGTGACCTCAGATTTGTCCACTCTTTCGCTTCCTGCCAGATCAACCAGATGCATGCAACCACGGAGAATGGTTCCAGATGTTAGCACTTTTCCTTGGACGTGAACAGTCAGGCAGCTGTCAAATATTAGCAGATAAAAGTTAGCCCCCATAATATTAGAACACAATCAAAATCTGGAATTATCAAACTGTACATAAGAAATAGAGGATTCGATTTGTCTTCACTTGAATATTGCCGAGCAACATAATACTGTAGACTATATTTCCGGTGACTTTACACTTTCTTAACAATCGCCTGGAGGAAGTAATAGCGAAATTCAAGGAAAATATCATATACCTATGTGAACGGCTGCTGCGGTCATTGAGGGCAGTTGCACCAACTGCGCGATTACAATTACCGAGGTTCATCAAGTTCAGGACATCTGCTGATGACGACACGGGCACGAGGTTTGCATCAGGTACATTTATTCCATTTTGACTGCTGTTACGTATTTCTACCCTTTTGTTCTGACCATCAGTCACAAGGAGATCCCTGACTTGTTCATTATAAATCTCGATCATCTGAACAGATACCTCATATAAAATGGAATTCTTTCTCTGCTCGGAGAGAAGGAATAGATCACTCAATGCTCTGAAGTTTACGCCCATGCTTTCCTCAGTGAGTTCTTTCGGTCCAGTCTGGAGAGAGAGAAAAAAAGATTGATTATGCGTCTGTTAAGTCAAAATTGGGTATTTAATGAGCCCAAAATAAATATGTTTGTTTGACATGGAAAAAAAAAATAGATGGATCTCTTACCATGGTATATGTTTTTCCAGATCCAGTTTGGCCATAAGCAAATATGCAGACATTGTAACCATCAAGAACAGACCGAATAAGGGGCTGAGTGTCTGAGAATACTTCCTCTGCAAAGAAGCCAACAAACTTGAGCGAGAACATTAACGGAAGAATCCAGAATACCCTTGAAAAAAGTGTGTGCACCGATTAACCTTGGGTCGCTGAAGGACCAAATACTTTGTTGAATGTAAATGACTTCCTTGCCTCCTTCCCATATTTAGAGAAGGTATTCACTGTAATATTTCCTTCCTCTATGCGGTCCACAGTGCTTAGACGATTTGCTTGCCCGGCTAAAAATGGTCTCACGCGACAATATACCCTAATAGTTCCTACTCAAACACACAAGGAACCATTAGACTGTTGATAGAAAGTCAAAGCATGAGACATAAAGTACTTTCAACCCAAGTTGACGATGAAATCTTAGGAACAATACCTTTCAAGTCTTGCACCTGATTATACAACCTGCGATTTTCCTCTAGAACTTTTTGGTATCCAGAAGCAGCATGAGCTAGACTATGTAGATGCTTACCTATTCATGAGGTTATCAACAAGAAAGATTAGAAAAATTGGTACAATCACGGAAACAGGTGTGAACTCAGTTAGTTTACCAAGATTGGCAATCTCCTCCATATACGTCATTTGTAGAAACTGCATTCCTGCTTTCGCTGTACATACAGTATCCTTCAGCTCCTGCAAAATAGCAATAGAGTACCATAAAGCAACCTCTTGTAAGCATTTAAAATTTTCTTTATTACATGATTGCACTGCAGATACCTGAATATCTTTCTGTTGCTGGTCAACTAGCAGCTGTTTCTTCGAGAGTTGACCTTCTGATGCCTCATCATCAATCAACTTTTGACTGTACTGTTCCTCGGATTGGATGTGTGTCGCGATTTGCTCTTCAATCTAATTGATCCATCGATCTCAAACATTGTTAGATAAAAAATGAATCATTTAAATGTATGCATGCTCATGATGCAACTTCACCTGTTGCAAACCTGTAAATTACAATGTCAAATCAATCAGAATACCTTTGTGTCCTCGGATCCACCTGTAGAAAGAGTCTTGTCGCAGCAGGATACTCCCACATCTCTTGATTCAGTTCTCATCTGATTAGATGAGAAATAAAATCAAATATGTATTTATAGAGAAATTCGACTAATAAATACAGAAACAGGTGCCACCAGCACCGTTGGTCCCTTAAAGGCAAGGAAACAGAAGCCCACGTTTGCTTACTGGGGGGGAAAAGAGAGCCCATGTTTGATTTGGATTTGTTACAGGTGCGCCAGCATTTATCAATGTGTAGCTCTACCGGTTCAGGTAGAACACATTCAAAAAATGGAAAAGAACTCTATCCGAATCAATTACCTGTGCTTGTAGATGTAGTACAATGCAGAGAAATAATAGCTACTCACCAGTTCATTTTGACTTGCTAAACGACGTTCAAACTCCTCCATGACTTTACTCAATAAAGATTCCACAACCTGTTAAGAGGAGGAAAGTTGAAATTTTTTGCTCAATTTGCTGCTCTTGCATAGGGGATGATAATAGGAACACTAAAGTGGAGCCCAATGGAAAAGATAAAAAGGAGTGAAAGACGATTTGCAAACTGAGGTGTCCTATTGTGGCCGCAATCTAAATTTATTGGAAGTACCACGTCTGCATCAGTTATATCATGTAAGGGCTCTTACAATTGGAATGTCTTCTTGTTTCTTATCTGAAAGAACTTGCCGTACTAACATATTCAGAGAACGAGACGATCCCTGCAAATTAGAGCACAGAAAAACGTTAATGGCCTATTCTTAGCTTTACAACAAGTGTAAACAAGATTAATGAGAACAGGGAAGCTCACTAACTGCAACATTGAGGTCCAGACATATATCACCATGTTCACCTAACAAACCATCTAGAGACTTCTCGCTGGCGGAGGAGGTCCTCGAGAAGGAATTCATGAATGGCTCTGAATTCTTCCGTATGAATTGTTTACTAGAGGTAAGGGGTTTAGCTCCAGCAAGTTTCCATGATCCAACTCCACCTCCTTGTTTCCATTCGCTGTAAGCTTTTAGTGCCAGGACACAATTCACAATCCGAGCCGATTTTCCTCCCTGAATGAATTTTACGGAGTGCGAAAGGAAAAGTCTTCATTCAAATCCAATCATTCGGAAATCAAGCTAATTCATCAGGCATTTGTGATGGAATGAAAGAAACCGAATCACTCGCCACAGGGGCCACCGGAGCTTCAGTTAAAAGATAGGCAAGAATGGGAATCATCACTCTCCAATGACACCCACCTGTTCTAAGTCAGAGGCTTCAAAAGTCGGAAGCCCCATTTCCTCCGCAATAACAAGAAAGTTCCTCACATTCTCAAAATACTGATAAGCCGAAAGTGCCGCTCCGTCGGGAATGATAACAGAGTCGGATGGGGCTTCAACCACCTAATAGTCAGAAGGGTTACACAAGGTCATGAAACCCGAAATGGCTGCTCATGCGACCGCGCCTACAGTAGAAAGAAAATGCAGCATACTTTCGGTATAGCCCCGGGTTGTACTTTGTTAAGAACATTGCAAAGGATTATCCCGCTTCGCAATCCGAGCCTAAACTCTTCTTCAGAAGGGTGAGCGGGCAGATCTTTGCCCCCAACCACTCCGACAGTCTTCCTCAACCATCCGGCCGCTTCATACCTTCTCGAGGCTGCGCAGCAATGCCAAGAATGTCAAATTCAACATTTTGGCAGGTCCCCACTTTCAAAAAAACAGAAAAACTCGAAATCTACGCGACTGGAAAAATCGTTCCCGCTCGCACTCGAACGGACAAATTCGTAAAAGCTCGACCAGGGGAAACTTGTCTCGCACGATACCAAGAAACATGCAGAATCTCCATAAACATGAGGAAGATATCAACATTGTCATCTTGGTTTGCCCATGAGAGTTCTAGATCGACCCGTCAAGAAAAGCCCCGCCAAAACTATCCAAATTCTCAATGCCTGAGCAAACCAACACCGCAAACTGGAAAAGATCGAATCGCAAAGATCGCCAAAACCCAGCAAATGCGGTCCCTCCGGGACCGCAAAAAGGGAAGACGAAAGAACAAACGCACCCGTCGCCCGATTCAAACTAAAAAAGAAAAAGAAAGAGAAGAAAAGAAAAAACAGAACCCAGCGACCAAAAAGAACCGTACAAGCTTCCTCTGCTTTCCGGGAGGCCAAGTTGCGGTCGCTCAGCCGAGTCTTGTGCTGCTGAAGAACGTCCTCCACCATGGACTCCACGGAGAACGTCACCGCTTGCTCCGTCGCCATCTCCTCCTCCGCACGTCGACACAGCAAAGGGGGAGACACAATGCCGAACGAATGCTATACGCACCACGCGATGGATATAATTCTACAGGGGATTTCGACCGGAGCTTCCCGAGGATGATCCTCGGAGGAGGAGGAGGAGGAGAGGGGACGGCGACGGGGGAAGGTGGGGGGGAAAGGGGAGGGGAGGGAAGGGAGAGAAAATGCGGGTGGATTTTCTCGGGACTTCGCTCTCCCTTTCCCTCTGTTTCTCTCTGCTTTTTTCTCGCTCGCTTTCTCTCTCTCTCTCTCTCTCTCTCTCTCTCTTTCTCTCTCTCTGTTTCGCTTTCTAAATATTGGCTGTCGAAAGAGGTGGGGGGAGGAAAAAGGGCACCGCACCAAAAACCGAACCTGGTTCCGAGCCTCTCGGGGGACAGGAAGGCTTTGACGGTTTATGTTCTTTTTTTTTACTTGAGAGGGGGGGCAAAATGGGCAATTCGCTCTTCTCTTTTTTCTTATTTTATTTCTCTCTTTTTGCTCTTTTTTTTTTTCGAAATATTTTCCATGGAAATGATATGGCTACAAAGGCAGTTTCGAAAAATCAAAAGTTTCTTGTCTAGGTCTGATGAATCTCCCCATCACCATGTATTCCGAAAAATATAATTTGTTTGAATTTTGAATATAATAATCGGATGGTTGAATTTTTCGAAAACTGCCGGATGTGATTCGCGAGCCATATATCAAATGGCGATGATTCGAGTTATAGATCACTCGAGTACCGGATCAATGGTGTTCTTACATTGTAATTGCTAAAAGAGCAATAGTTATTCTTGCATGAAGATGAGATGAATCCTTTTTGTTAAGAGTTTACTATAGAATTTTATATGAAAAAAAGTTTTAAGATTAATAAGAAAAAATAATAGATGTTAGAGAATCTACAGATATGTGTATCAATTGTTGTACAATTTGAATCTCGAGTTCGTAACTCGCGAGCATTGTCGATGTAGTCTCGAAACTAACCATAATTATTTAGCAATAACTAAAAGTTTTATTCTTGTCATCTCGTATTATATGTAACCAATAACCTAAACTAGTCATACCGATCTCATTATCTCGTCAATTAAGTTATCCAGATCTATGGAGTCGCTCAAACTTTTCGTATAAAAATAACCCGATGTTCATAAAAACTGCCTGCACATTACATCTTACGCAAGTTAGAGGGTGGATTGGATTTAATTATGTCTTGCTCATGCCCAACCCTTTGCTTAGAATAGAAGGCTTAACATGTGATAACGATTAGTGAGAACTCCCATCCAAGGATCATCCGACAAGAATAGAGAAAGAAGCTATGAAACACCCCCCAGCACAGGTCACTTGACAATGTAATGTGACCCGCAATTTTACCTTAAAAAAATCAATCTGAAGCTGAGGTCCTTTTGCCTTTTCCTTTCTCTTTTTCCTTTCTCTGGGCAAGGTAGTTCTTCTGTAATTAGGAAGAGTGTCATTTTCTGTTACCAATACCTGGTTACTATGTGTTAACCACCCAGATGTAATTGGAGTGAGTAGGATTGCAAGCTTCGATGAGAATATTGTACAGGTGGTTTCTCAAGTTGGTTCGGCTTGGGAGCATGTATATATATATATATATATATATATATAGATAAGTGCACTATAAGTTATAAAACTTGTCATGAAAGTACAATCGAGTCCCAAAATTTTCAAAAAGTGCGATCAAATCCTAAAACATATCACAAAAGTATAATCAAATCCCAAAACTTTCGAAAAATGTAATCAATGGAATGACTTGATTTGATCAATTTGACAAGTTTTAGGGTTTGATCGAACTTTTTGAAAGTTGTAAGACTCAATTGCACTTTCGTGACAAGTTTTAGGATTTAATTGCACTTTTCAAAAGTTTCAGGATTCAATTACACTTTCGCGACAAGTTTTAGAATTTTGAATGCAATGTGTATTTTCATGAGCACATGATCCATGCTCCATCCTTCATGATTGAGCCCACTACTAGAGATCTTTGTTTAAGGAGAAAGCAAGTGCTCGTGGGATCTTAAGTGCCAAATAATTTAACTCAAAAAGTATAAGTTGGGTTCAACTTCAAAAGCAATTGGACCAGATCATTAGTCACCCATAAAAGATTCTATTAATGTAAGCGCATGACACCCACCTATATGATTTAAAGGGCAGCGAGTCGAGCCGTTTTGGAGAACGAAACAATGCCAGAATTCCCACATCACGACCTATATTTTACTGGGCTTCACAATAATGGGATGTATAGAATCTTCGAATTTCAAGTGCATGAATGTAGGCAACACGCTCCGAAAAAATTCACATGAAAGCTACTTCCGCACTCCCTCACGAAACTTTATGCATACAGATAAGCATTGCTCTCATTTCTTTCTTAAATTTGAAATTATTGTGGCACCACATGAGGATGCTATGAAACTTATCATTTCTCTTGAAACGCTGTCGTTTTCCTCATATATATCCTCATTCACGATCTCATATATCCCAACCCCAACTAATCCATACACGCGTGCATACATACACAGGTTATACATCAGGCAAGCGCCGTTAAATACAACTTATATATTCCGTTGCTCGGTTGAGCGCCGTCGAGAAAATTTTCCAGATGCATTCGAATATTTCCTTGGATTGTTGTTACGCAAGCAATTTTCCACATTTTTCCTTCTCTAAAATCCTAACGTGTCATATGAGAAAATATAGAAAGGAGCTCCGTTTTTGTTTATTCAAACGGCCGTTCCCTCCAACAGATATTTAAAATCCACGGTTCGGATACGAACCTAACACAGGTTCGGCGACGAATCCATACACCTATATATATTTATTTATTTATTTATGGTTGTTTTCGTTTACTTTGAACGTGCACGTATTATGCGTGACGCCAAAAAAAAAAAAAAGGAAGAACCAATTAATTGCTAGCGGGGCCCACACGCGGAGCGCGTCCCGCGGAGCGGGCCCCACAGTTTCCCGCCGCGCCGGCAGTTGTTGAAAGTCCACCGGCCCAAGCCCAACCTCACGCTCGAGTGGGCTCCACCGCGGGCCCACCCCACGACCCCGACAATAACATGCAAATTAGGAAGGAAAAGCAAGCCGAATAAATAAAAAAAAAAGAAGGGAAAAAAATGGAATTTCTTTTGGCCGTCAAATTTTTGGAATTCGTTTCTTCAATTATTATTGAAGAGAATTCTCAGAGGCCCCTTTTTTTTTTATAAATTTATTTAGGTGGACAGGTCAATAGTAGACGGAAATGGTTTTGAAAATTCGCAAGAAAAATCCAATCTTTTTTTTCTATTAATACTTGATAGTGACGATCTATGTTTGAAATTTGAAATGCTACACCTCTGTTAGACCTCTTTATTTAAGACCCTGCAAAAAGAAATATGAAAACGCACGACCTCCTCAAATTTCTAGCCGATTCGATAATATATATATATGATTTATCTAAATATGAAATAGCACAATTAGATAGAGTACTATCCTCGATTTCCGTTAAAGAAGGAAAAGGGTATTTTCATATGAGTCTTGTCTAGGAGTTTTGGGACAAGGCATGTGTGGTACCAACCCAAACTCCCAAAGCGGTTCCTTTTTCTTCTTCCAATTCTTTCGGGGTTTGCTTAGGTGCAAGATGGGAGCCATTTCCAAACTGAATAAGCAAATTGTCCAAAGTGGCAGGACACCCTTCTTCGGATTTGAAGTGTTACTGTCTAAATTCTGAGGAGCAACACTTTATCATAATCAAGTGCTGTTGTCTAAATTCCAATAATTTCTCCCCTTTTTCTATATAGATAGATAAGGAGGCTTTATATTAAAGTTGAAGTCTTGTTAGGTGAGGATTAGGACTTGTATAAAGGAAAAGGAGGAGGAGGTGGAGGTGGAGGTGGAGGAGGGAGGGGGCTTGAGGCCTGGATCTTCAACAAGTGGCTTGATGGCAGGAAGAGCTCAAGCCAAGTCACATGGTTGTATCATTTCTGAATTGGTCCAAAGTCCTATCCTGTACTAAATCTTTCATTAACATAATGCATGGAAAAGACCCTAAAGTTCCGGATTGGGGTCTGCTAAGAACAAAAAAGAGGAGCAGAGAAAGTCAATGTGCTGGCCTTTGCTGCTTTCAACCCAGTTGCTATCTTTTTTTCTGGGGATGAATCTATAATTGGACAATAGAGGGAAAGAGAAAAGCGGAAGTTCAGATCCAATTGCTGTTATCAATGAAGTGTTCGTGTAGTTTCTGACCGATGGATATGCAGAAGTCATGATGTGCTCGTTGAGAAAAAGAGTTCAATCATGACCTTTTTGCTAGACCTTATGTGATGCTTCTTTTGCCTGCATAAGTGTCTGAACATTCAGAAGATTATGATTAAGCACACAGATCAGTGTGGTTTAAGAGGAGGCAAAATGGGTTTTTGACAGATATCAATGTGTACTTGGTTTAATTGAAAAGCTTCATTTTGGATGCATCAACGTGTCCTTGGATGAATTGAAAAGCTTCATTTGGGACCACAATGCTTTTTTATGACACTTCCTTTTCTTGACATCCACAATCTCTAATGTCTTTACCAAGTACAAAGCCCCTGTGTCTCTGTAACATCAAGGATGTGACGAGGCCAGACGCATAAGGTGATGACAAAGCCAAATCGACCGTTAAGATGGAGAAAACTTTCGGGTTAGTCGGATAATAAAGCGACGTGAAGCCAATTAAGCACCCCAATCTTAGGGAGCTAAATTAGAAAGCTCTGAGATACCCTTTGTTGCGTCGTTTTGATTTGCAATCAAATCACGGAATTAAGGTCCGATCTACTTTAACTTTGCACACCAAACTCCACACTGAGAAAAAGGTTAATCACCAAATTTAGGGATGGGAGAGAGAGCAAGAACATGATGATCACACTTTAGGCCAACAGTGCTAATTGCACTTATCCTAAATTAAAATAGGCGGAGAGGGTCCCAAGATATGGCAAAGGGGCTTAATCAGTTCTCCATGCAAAGAATAAGTTATACAGGCACATGACTGTCATAAGCACTTGAAGTCACTGAATTTGGACAGCTCAACTCTGATCTCTTGCTGGTCTTTGAGGTAGAACAAGAAGATGATGAGCTGCTTCTAGAGCAAAAACAAGTGTTCCAAGACTCATAAAAGATGACAATCATGAATATGGACTCGTGCACATTGAACCCACATTGGTGTTTTGGATGAAGATAAAGCTAGTGTAGGATTTGAAGAACAGAAAAGAAGGGACAAAGGAATTGTTTATCAAAAGATTGTGGTATTGAA